TCAATGCCAAAAATGCCGTTGTATTTTACTTGTTATGCACGTGAGGGGCCGAAATATTTTTATTGAGCATTTAATCTACGTGACGGAATATTGAATCTTTTCTTTTCTGCAACTCCTATTTCCTTTCTTTTCTATTGCTGCAAACACAGCATGCATATTTCTGTACGAAGAGAAACCATGTTGTGTTCTAAATCTGTATTGATCTTTCCTTTTATGCAACAGAGCTCGTAAGAACTTTGCGGGAAGGTGGTCATTCTTTTCCCGGTACGTTTCTAGTTAAAGATTGTACAGTACTACAGCTGTAATGATGTATATACTAATTTTATTTCTAGATAAGAATATCTGCAACATCAGAAAACAAAAAAAAACTCTATTGCCACTGAGAAGCTGATTTAGTTGAGAAAATTCAAGAGTAGCTTAAAATTGAAACTGTCATTGACTGTACATAAAATTTGCACTTCAAGGAATGTTATGCGGTTCAAGTGCCTTGATCCATCTAAGTTTAAGCTGGAATTAGATGCTTTTCTAACCATCCATAACCTCTGTTTCTTGTGGGATTAAGGCTAGATCTGAAATAAATGAATGATGATTCCTTTTATTTCACAAGCAATTAATTTGCAAACGAATTTTTTTTATCTCACAGTTCTATTCATATTACAGGCTGTATGTTTTACAGTTTATAATTATCTTTATATGAACTATTATAATTTTAGTCTTAATTCTATTAAGATTATGCTTGTAACAAATTTAGAAGTATACTAGAATTTATTTGTAAATTCACATTTGTTCAACTAGAAAATGTTGTAAATTATATTCAAATGACAAAAATTTGAGTTTACATAGAATATCTGGTTTTTATTAACTCATATATAATTGAAATAATGAGCTTATCAATATTAATAGGATTTATATTAGATTTTTTTTTTTTTTTTTCTCCAAAACGTAGCCCGAGTTTATCCAGAGATGAAGGTACTGATTAGAAACCTTTTGCGGATCTGTTTAATATTGGAGTAAGGTCCGATTTGATTATGGTGACTTGATTTCTGATCAATGTGGTAAAATTACTTCATTTGTAGAATTCATTTTCAAGTCAATATTATAATACTCAGTCATATATAGTGGTATTTAAATTTGACAAATTTTAGAAGAAACCATAGTCTATTATATGTATCATATTCTCTACAACGGCTCCATGACGTGTGTCGTGCATTTTCTTTTGGAGTTTGGGAACTGGGCGGGCACACATGGGAGAGCCAGACACTCTCATTATTGAATTTTCTAATTCCTGTTCGCACTTTTATTTACACTTTTGTTTCCTCATTTTACTTATCGTTATTAAAATGTTGAATTCTCCATATTTTAAAATTCATGCCTATAAAATATGATTGTGAATGCTCATCTATTTTTACCGACAAACAATAACATATTTTAGCTATAAAAATACTCAAGATGTAATAAAGTATTCTAACATAACATTTATGTATTGAAATATATATATATATATATATATATGAAAACAACTTCACTATGGTAGTTTAAAAAAATAACATGCATTAAGAATTATTATTTAAAAGGATAATTAGCACTGAAAACAATACTTACCCTATTGGGAGCAGAAATCATCGTCAACAATACATGAATGGGTCTTGATCTCACAGTTGTAAATAAATTTGTGTATTTGTATAAATAAGATTAGTATAATTTTAATTTCATTTTCATAATTCTTAAATTATACTAATATGTAGTCCTTTTTATATTAACTTGACCATTTAAAGCAACTTTTTTAAATCACCTCCGCCTTTCGTTGGGCATCATTTTCAGTCCTACATATATTTGAATGTGGCTTCGTGCACGTGACCATTAATCACGCATCGCCAAAACGGTCAGTTTTGAATACTCCTGCAAACAGACAGATGGGTGGGTGGGACCCACCAATACGGAAAGAGTCCCTCATTATCAAAATCTAAGAGGGCCCAATAATGTTGACTCGATCTAATCAAGACTGCCATCATTGTTAATATTCCTACCAAAACGGTGTCGTTTCTTCTCTGCCTCGGATATAACCGTTATAGACCCAACTTTGTTTTGTTTTGTATTTTATTTTTCTACCTGCAAAAATCGAATTGGCTCCCCCAATTTTCCTAACCGTTTGAACTCTCCTTTCCCACCACATTCTCGTTAGCTTTCTCATGATTGCAGCCATCATCGAGAACTCACCTTGTTTAATTTCTCTTTCAAGATAATCAATAACAAACTCACTGCAATGCCGCCAAGAAACCTCCTCGTTTTCTTGTTCCTCTACGTAATCCTTCCGAAGAACAGAGGAGCCGTCGCAGAGAACGTGAGCTTCAATTTCTCCTCTTTCACGCTCCGCAACATCACTCTGCTCGGAGACTCTCACCTCCGAAACGGCGTCGTGGGACTCACCAGAGAGTCCGGCGTCCCTTCCTCGAGTTCCGGCACTCTCATCTACAACTACCCAGTTCCGTTCTTCGACCAAGAATCCAACACCACGGCTTCTTTCAGCACTGAGTTTTCCTTCTCCATCAGAAACGCAAACCCGGGCAGCTCTTTCGGCGACGGCTTGGCATTCTTCCTCTCTCCCGATAACCAGACCCTCGGCAGCCCAGGTGGGTACTTAGGTCTCGTCAATTCCTCGCAGTTGACCAAGAACAAGTTCCTTGCCATTGAATTCGACACGAGGCTCGATCCCCATTTCAACGACCCGAGTGATAATCATGTCGGGTTGGATATTGATAGCCTGATTTCGATCAAGACTGCGGACCCGATCTCGGAAGGAATCGATCTGAAATCGGGGAATTCAACCACTGCTTGGATTGATTACAAGAATGATATGAGAATCTTGAATGTGTTCTTGGGTAGGTCGAGTTTCGGGAAGCCGAAAAACCCTCTGCTCACTCTGGATATTGACCTCTCTCCTTATCTCAAGGAGATTATGTACGTGGGTTTCTCCGGTTCGACAGAAGGGAGCACCGAGGTTCACTTGATAGAAAAATGGAGTTTTCAGACTTCTGGGTTCCTTCCTGTTCGACCCAGATCGCATCCTCACAATGTTTCTGATAGTTCAGTGACGGTGATACCGGCTATTCCGGGCTCAAATTCCACTAGTAACCATCACAAGAAACTCGGTTTGGGTTTTGGAATTGCAGGTCCGGCTTTCTTCTGTGTCGTGCTCTTAGTTTTTGGGTACATTTCTGTGAGAAAATGGCGGAGAACAAGGGCCGACAAGAGTCTAAAACCAGAACTAGTCACAGGTCCAAGACAGTTCAGTTACAAAGAACTATATACAGCCACAAGAGGGTTTCACTCAAGCAGAATCATCGGTCGAGGAGCTTTCGGAGAAGTTTACAAAGCTTTCTTTGTCTCTTCCGGCCAAATTTCCGCCGTTAAAAGATCCAGACACTCTCATGAAGGCAAGACTGAGTTTCTTGCCGAGCTATCAATCATTGCAGGGCTAAGACACAGGAATCTAGTCCAACTCCAAGGCTGGTGTGTAGAAAAAGACGAGTTACTTCTTGTTTACGAGTTCATGCCAAATGGAAGCCTTGACAAACTCCTCTACCATGAATCAGGGACTAATCTTCTCACTTGGTCTCACAGAAAAACCATTGCTCTGGGTTTAGCCTCTGTTATAACCTACCTTCATCAAGAATGTGAGCAGCAAGTAATCCACAGAGATATCAAAACAAGTAACATAATGCTGGATAGAAACTTCAATCCCCGGCTTGGTGACTTCGGATTAGCCAGACTCATGGATCATGACAAGAGCCCGGTGTCAACTTTAACTGCAGGAACAATGGGGTATCTAGCTCCAGAGTATCTTCAGTACGGTAAAGCTACAGAGAAGACTGATGTTTTCAGCTATGGCGTGGTGATTCTTGAAGTGGCGTGCGGGAGGAGACCCATTGAGAGGGAGGGGAACAGTCAGAAGATGGTGAATTTGGTAGACTGGGTTTGGGGATGGAATGCACAAGGGAGGATTGTTGAAGCTTGTGACAAAAGATTGAATGGGGAGTTTGAGGAAGAAGAAATGAAGAAGCTGTTGCTTGTAGGGTTAAGCTGTGTTCATCCTGATAGTAGGGAGAGGCCTGCGATGAGGAAAGTTCTTCAGATACTTAACAATGAAGCTGAGCCTGTGATTGTGCCGAGTGTGAAGCCAAGTTTGTCTTTTTCATGTGGGTTGAGGGTTGAAGATATTGTTTCAGATGGAGAAGAAAGTAAGAACTTTGTTAATTGATTCAATGTGGGTTATGAAGAAGATGATTAATTGTCTGAATTTTTTTTCTGAAAATTTTCTAGGGTTGATACTTAACATAATAATTGAGTGACAGGTGAGGGATATAAGAAAAGATTTGTTGTGTTTGGCTTAGTTCAAAACTCAAACACATTGAACTAGCACTGTTACTCTTTTTCTTTTTCTGGCAAGTAAATACGAGCAGGAAGCTTGCTCTGTATACCTTAGTTGTTTTTTTTTTTTTTTTTCTTTTAAAAAAATTAACTAATAATTCTTCGTTAACTTATTTGATAATATAAAAAAATTCTAAAAAATGAACCAGACGCCGTGGGACAATCTATTTTGATCCGTTTTTACAGTTTACATACTTTTATATTATCTTTTATGATTATCGTATTTATATTAATGCATTTTCTAATGATACGTAAGGAAAGTATTTCTGTTCCTTTGTAAGAGAATATTAAAATATAAATAATAAATATTTATAATCAATCATTTATCTTATTACTTTAAAAATGAACAATAGTATTTCATTATTACAAATATAGATTATTGAAAAAAAAATAAATAAGACGTGTATTAAGATATTTTCCTTCAACTTCACGATATTTATACAAACAGTTGTAATATAAAAATTTACGAACATGTTATTTTACTATTAAGTTTACTCAAATATATTTAAATTGATCGTTTAAACCTTTCAATTCATACATGTAGATTTTATATTTATAAGTGATGACCTACACAAGTAGATTTTATTTTTACAAGTAGATTTTATATTTAAATTAAAAAAAAACGAAATGACCTACACAAATTTATTGGTCATTAATCTCGAACCAATCAATCAAATATCGATTAATACATAATTAATCAAACACTACTTAAAATTTGGCTCGAAAATAAAATATTGCTCTCGTTTGTTTGAACGTTCGTATCTATAAGCATTAGGATCCTAATTTTTAATTACTTTTTGTTTAATCCAATTTTTTAAAATTTAATTATTTAATATACGAAAATTAATAATAATTTAAATATATTATTAAAATATGTAAATTGAATCAATTTTTTTGTATCTTTTATATTAAAGATGATAAATTTATATTCTTGGCTGAATCACAAAAGCATCTGATTAGAACATGACAAGAATTGGTTTTGAATTAAAATATTATTTTTGTTTAAATTCTTATTATATTTTAATTTTGTTTTTATTTAATATTGAGGGATCTATATACATACATACATACATATATAAATATATATATATATATATATATTTACAGAAGATGAAAACCCCTTTAATCAATGAAAAAAATAATACATAAAAACCCCTTTAAATTTTTAATTATTTTTCTCATACTGGGCTGAGCTGACTGATCCACCGACCCGAGGTAAATAAGCCTACTTAATAGTAA